GTTAGTACCTCAAGCACAGAGTTGGGAGTAGCTCCCCCCACCAGGTATGGCCCAACCCACCTCCCCCCAAATAAAAAATAATACAATAAATTAAAAAGTGGGACTGGAGATCACTTGATCACTTGACTTTCCGTTGATCGTCGATTTGCTTGAGTGGGCACCAGTAACATCTCCATTTGTCCCTGTCACGTGCCAGCATAGCCCAATGGCGTCTGTTCGTTCTAGGAACATGAAGAGCCTCAAACCGATCATTCATGATCTTGATGAAGAAGTCTGACCATCTGGTAGGTGGGCGGCCACGTGGTCTTTTGACATCCCGTGGAATCCAGTCGGTAACAGCTCTAGTCCAGTGGTCGTATCTAAATCTCATTACGTGACCAGCCCATCTGATTTTTGACACCTTGGCAAACGAGACAGCGTCCCTGATTCTTGATCATCGTCGGAGGTCGAAACTCCGGATTCTTTCTCTCATTTGAGTGAAACGTGATATTCCAAGCATAGCTCTTTCAGTTCCTCTTTGGGAGACCCGAGTAGTTCTCATCCTGTTAGCGTATGGCCCAGGTCTCTGAGGCTTATGATAATGCAGGAAGAACAGTGGAATCAAAGAGATGTGCCCAGAGCCAGAGGTTCTTCGTCCTCTTAGCTATTTCTTCGATGCTCTTGAAGGCGTTCCAAGCTGCTCTCTTCCTCCTGCGCAGCTCAGGTGCCAGGTCATTTGTCATGTTGACTTCTGGACCGAGGTACACATAACTGTTGCATTTGGAGATGGTCGTTCCATTGAGAGCGAATGGGGCGTCAGGAACGAGGCTGTTTCTCATAAACATTGTCTTCATAAGATTCAGCTGTAGTCCGACCTTTCCACACTCACGGTCGAAGTTGGCCAGCATTTGTGCTGCTTGGCTAATGTTTGGTGTTATTAGAACAATGTCATCAGCAAAGCAGAGGTGGTGTAGTTGCCAACCATCAATCTTCAGTCCCATTCCTTCCCATTCTAGTCGTTGCATGATGTTCTCGAGGGTGGCACTGAAGAGTTTCAGTGAAATGGTATTATCACCCTGCTGAACCCTTCTCTTGACATCAATGATTACTTCTTTGTAGAATGGTGAGATCCTGGTAATGAATCCGTAATACAGCTCACAGAGGATCCTGATGTATTGAGTTTGAATGCCCTGATTGGCTAGGGCTTCAATGACCGCTTCCATCTCAACAGAATCAAAGGCCTTCTTTAAATCAATGAACGTTAAACAGAGTGGCATCTTGAACTCCTGAGAAACCTCAATGAGCTTGGTTATTGTGTGGATATGGTCGATGGTGCTGAATCCTTTGCGGAACCCTGCTTGCTCGCATGGTTGTCCTTCATTTAGTGTTCTGCCAATCCTATTCAGGATGACTCGAGTGAACAACTTGTAGATGACAGACAATAGGCAGATAGGGTGATAGTTGCCAAAGTCGTGGATGTCTCCCTTCTTGTATTGTAGTACAGTCCTGCTGGTTTTCCATTGGGATGGAACCTTGCATTCAGACAGGTACCGTGTGAAGAGCCGAGCCAGTGTATTGATGAGTACTGATGGCAGGTTCTTCAAGTGTTCAGGTCTGACCTTGTCTGGGCCGGGTGCTGTTTGTTTCTTTACTGACGAAATGGCATGTCGAATTTCAGAAGGGAGAACAATGGGAATGACATATCCATCCTGTGGAATTTGGTATTTTGGCAGATGGACATGGCTATCAAAGAGATCTGAGTAGAAGTCATGGATAATCTTCTCCATTGCCCTTCTGGAAGATGTGATAGATCCATGAGGATGTCGGAGGGCAGTCATCTTAGTCTTGTAGTTGGCGAAGGACAGGCAGGCATTACGAATACTTTTCCCGGCTTCTGCCGCATCTACCAGCACTTCTGCTCTTCTCTCTTTGAGGTCTTCCTTGATCTCATCTCTGCACTGCTTTGCGAGCTCGGATGTTCACTTACGGTTGCCTGAGGCATGCGCCAAACCACGTTGGCGAATGAGCTCAAGAGTTTTCGAAGACAGGCTTTTTTTTTTTTTTTGTGGCTATCTCTCTCTTGGCGTTCTTCGTACAATCATGGAGGTGCTGAACCAGTCGATTGTATTCCTTGTCAATGTTGTCAACAATGGCATCTTCCCACATTGCAGCAATAGTGCCAAATAAATTAAAAAGTGGGACTGGAGATAATGTATTTAATTATTTTCTGCAAGAAAATAAAGCTATGTGGGATGGATGTCTCTATTGAAGGATGGTAGTAATCAAAAAAAGGAAAAAAGGGCCATAAGCTATTGAGGAAATAGAGAGCAAGAGAAAGGGATCCACCTAGAGAGAGGATGGGGGGGGCGAGTAAAGTAGGACAGTTGCAGAGTTTAGGAAGACGATGTAAAGTTAGCAAATGCAGCAGACTAGTGAAGGAGAATGAGGATGTTCACAGAGAGGCTGTGTTGGAAGATAACGGTTGGTCACTTCCTCTGGGCAGCCTTTCTGCCTTCTTCTCACATCACTCCAGACCACCCAGGACTTTCTTTCTCTCTTCTTGCTTTGACTTGACACAGAGTCATTGATTAGCCTCCCGTGTTTGCTAGTAAGAGAGTATCCCCTTAGGATCAAATGATCCCAGAGATAATCCTTCCAGTATAGTGGCTGAAGGACAGGGAGTTGGGGAACACAGATCCCTGACAGGGTCTTGGGGAGAGTGTTGGAAAGGCAAGTACACTGCGAGGTGCCAGGAAACAGAAAGACAGTAAGGAATTGAAAGAACCACCTGAAAAAGAGAGGGATGGGGCTGGAGCCATAGCACAGCAGGGAGGGAGTTTGCCTTGCACGCGGCCGATCCGGGTTTTATTCCCAGCATCCTATGTGGTCCCCTGAGCACCCTCAGGAGTAATTCCTGAGTGCATGAGTCAGGAGCCCCTGAGCACTGCCGGTGTGACCCAGAAAGCAAAGAGAGAGAGAGAGAGAGAGAGAGAGAGAGAGAGAGGAGAGAGAGAGAGAGAGAGAGAGAGAGAGAGAGAGAGAGAGAGAGAGAGAGAGAGACCAAAGACAGATAAGAAGGAGGAGAGAGAAAATTGCACCAAGACAGGAGCAGAAAGATGAGCCATGTTTTCGAGTAGCACAGGACAGAGATGAAGATGGGAAAAGCCAAAAGTGTTGACGTGGTGCAAGACACAGAGGGTGAGAACTGATGGGGCAACAGTGAAGAGGGACTGGAGACTGCGGGGAAGGGGTGAGTCTCTGAGGGAGAGGAGGGTTTGGCAGACATGGCCAAGAAATTTAGAGCGTGAGAAGCACTATGAGGTGAGAGGTCAGGCTTGACTGTGTGGAAAAACCTAAGACTCAATGGGGTAACAAGAAAAGCTGCTCTTAAAGCTTGAATACTGGCCTTTTTCAGCGCCTGACTGAACTAAAGGGGACTTAAAATTTTTTAAATTTCCTTTCAGGTAAAATGGGAGTGCTACTTTCCAACTCTTTCTTTTTGCCCCATTATTAGCTAATCTGTTTGCCATAGTACTAAGGTTTATGACATTGATGTGCCCAATTTCTGCACCTTTACTACCACCAGAAAACCCGATACTCTCCAGCAATGTTCTTAGTCACTTCTAGTTTGCCTCTTTCTCATCCACCTTCTCATTATCCTGCTCAGTAATGTTTGGTACTCCAGGCCAATGGTACAGCTGCTAAAATATTGAGGGGTGGTGGGCACGGAAGAGATAGTATGAGAATAAATCGCTTGCCTCCCACTTGGCTGACCGAGGTGGTTCCTTTCTAGTACCACAGTTGGTTTCCAGAGCATCATTAGGAGTGATCCTTGAGCACAACCAGGAGAAAACCCTTAGCACAGACCCATAGAGCCTTAAAACAAAGTTAAATCAACCCCCCTTCCAAAGAGCATGAAACAATTTTAGCTTATTGAAGCAGCCCAGCATTTGGAGTGGGTAGCCCTAGTCCTCACATATTTGTTCCTGGAGTCTGGGTTGTTAATTTCCAGTTATTTGGGGGCTATTTCTTCCGCAGGAAGCAGGCGGATCACTTGCATACGGAGACTGGGATACTAGAAGGCCGTTGGTCAGATAAAGAGCTTTCAAAAGTGTTCTGCAAGAGCAAGCATGAAGAACACGTGAAAGGATTTGTAGCTTTTCCCACAGTGATTCAATAAATAAATATAAGAAGAAAAATAAATAAATAAATAAATAAAATTATAAAAAAAAGTAAGGTGGAGTTCATGCCCAATTCAATCAGCTAATCAGTAGCAGTACTCCTACACACACACACACACACACACACACACACACACACACACAGGATTTGTGAGCGTCAGGGAGGTTTCAAGGAGCACAGGGCAGATCTTGGATGATTCTGGGCCCTTATTGAAAAGCCTGGAGGATGTATATGTTCGCCAGCATCCTCTTACCACCCTCAAAGGTAGATGAATAACAGCATCGTTCCTCACTTTGGAGGTCTATACGTCCCCGTACCAGGAAGGAGCTATTCATTGTCATTGTCACAAAGCTCCAGAAGCTCCAACTTTTCTGAGTTGGCTGAAAGTAGTCCCCAGGTCTCCGGAGCACTCCAGCAGCTGCAGGAACTTTGGGGAAGTGGGTTTCCATGGCCCCAAGCATGACCTTGGGCTCTCTCTCTCTCTCTCTCTCTCTCTCTCTCTCTCTCTCTCTCTCTCTCTCTCCCTCTCTCTCTCTTTCTCTTGTCTTGTCTTTCAGTCTCTCTCTCTTTTAATTTTGGTAAATTGCTGAATGTGGGGGCTGGACGCGGGTTCGATCCTCGGTATCCCATATGGTCCCCTGAGCCTGGCCAGGAGTGGTTCCTAGGCGCAGAACCAGAAGCATGCCCAGAGCACCGCCGAGTGTGGTCCAACTTCCCCCTTCCCTCCCTCCCTCTCTCCCTCCTCACCCCTTCCACCCCCCAAATTGCTGACTGTGGACTGGCCCCGCCCTTCCGCGCGCCCGCAGCTGGGCTGCCCCTCCCGTTCTGCCCCGCGGCTGCTCCTTTCCGGACGGCGCTGGAGGGCCTCGCCGCGGCCGCCCATGGGGCTCGTGTCACTGACCGCCTGGCAGCAGCCCAGGTAGGGCTGGACGGTAGGGCAGCCCAGGAGGCACGGGGAGGGGGCGCGCGACGAGGGGCGGGGGCTACCCGGGCACGCCCCTGCAGCCAGTCTATTCTCTGCAATTCTAGGAACAAGCCTCGGTTAGTTTGCCCTTTACGGAGGAGCAAGTGGGACGGACGGGTTGCGTGGGCCCCACCCCTGCCGTTTGGATGCCCTCTTCCCTTCCTCCTGTCCTTTTCCCTTGACCCCCTCTGGTTGCAGAGCGACTTTTAGGAAGCTCGGGTGTGGAAACACCCATCGCACTTGCAGATTCTGGGAAAAGTGTCAGGGAAGCTGCAGTGATACATCCAGGCCCGAGTGTGAGTTTAGCAAGCCACCACCACGCCCAGGGACACTGACGCCGCTTTCATGCAGTAATTCCTCCTCCTGGCCTCCTCCAACGGCACAGTATCTGCTTGGCAACTTGTTGCTCAGAGGTTTCACATCTCCAGTGGGGAGAAAGCTAGGTCTTTTGGGGCAAAGCCACGTGCATAACCCTTATGAACCCCGGGGGAATGCTGCAAGTGATGCTCTTTTAAGCTCCCTCCAAATGGGTAGCCGTCAGTCTTCTCTTATTTTTCCCTTAGTTGTCCTCCTCCTCCTACGCCCCCTTTTTGGAGGCCTCCCGACTTTTGCTCAGGAGGCTTGGGGCCCTCCCCCAACTTTCCCACTAACTTGGCTGGTGATTCTGCATAAGAGAGCCCAAGGTTGCTGGGACACTCTTAGGTGCTGGGAGCCTCCAGAGACACACCCCTCTTTACTGCGAGGTCTTGTATGGCTGCACCCAGGGATGCCTGGGGAATTCAGGGTCAGGGATAAAAGTGGTATCATCTACACGACTGTATTTAACACCTGTGCTTTCTCTCCACCACTCTTAGTGATCCATTAAAAATGTAACCAGTTTCTGGGGCCAGAGCGATAGCACAGCGGGTAGGGCGTTTGCCTTGCATGCCGCCGACCTGGGTTCCATCCCCAGCGTCCTGTGTGGTCCCCCAAGCACCGCCGGGAGTGTGGTTCCTGAGTGTAGAGCCAGGAGTGACCCTTGAGCATCGCTGGGTGTGACCCCAAAAGGCAAATAAAATAAAATAAAAATGTAACCAGTTTCTGGCTTCAGCTTTCTTCATGTGTTTGGTGAAGGAAATGATCTCTCTTTGCCAAATATGGTAAGAGGTAGTGGTTATATGTATTTGGGTTTGAGGACACACCTATCGGTGCTCAGGGCTTACTCCTGGATCTGAGTTCAGGGAATAACTCCTGCCAGGGCTCAGGGGACCATGTGGGATGTCAGGGATTGAACCCAGGTCAGCTGCAAGGCAAATGCTCTACCCTCTGTGTTATGTCTCTCTGACCTAGGGGTAATATGTTGACCCCTCACATCATGCATTCAAAAGCCCAATTACTGGCGGGGAGAGAGATCATACAAGGATTAAAGTGTATACCTTTGCATACCTCTGATTCAGACCTCTGACATTGCATATAGTCCCAGCACAGTCACTCCTGAGCACAGAACCAGTAGTAGTGCCCGTTGAGCACTACTTGATGTGGCCCAATGTCTCCCCTCCCCCACTCTGATTACTGAATGAACTACCGTTTGGAATGATCCCTTCACTGTTTCCCTCTGTAACTAAATCAGTTACCTCTCAAGGGCTACTCTTAGCAACCTGAGCAACTGGCGCACATGTGGCCCACACCATGGTCTCTCCTTCCATCCTCCAAATATTCAAAGCAGTTTGCAAAGGTTACTTTCAGTCTTGGTGAATAGCAAGGTTAGAACTTTGTCAAAATGAAAAGAAATCACTTTTAATTCAACAAAGTGGATTTTGAAATAGAACTATAAACATATGCTTTGCTGATTTCCACATTAACAGATTGCATATGCAATATGCCCTTCAAAGTCTGCTGGTGCCCAGAGAGATAGTACAGTGGGTAGAACATATACTTTGATTATTTCCACGTTAGCAGCTTGTATATGCAATGTGCCCTTTCAAAATCTGCTGGGGCATCAGAGGGATAGTACAGTGAATAGGGCTTTTTCATTGCATGCAGCAAACCCGGTTAGATCCCTTGCACCCACTCCATATGGTTCCTCAAACTACTAAGAACCATATGGAGAAATCCCTGAGAGCTGCCAAATGTGGCTCAGTGTCTTCCCCTTACAAAAGAATAACCTGGTGGGTGTTGGGGAGTAATGAAATAGAAGACTGTTGTATGGAATAATTTTTTTCTTACCTGCCTGGGTGATGCATAGGTTAAAGGGCTTGTGTATAATACTGAAGGGATTATTTTGAAAGTATTCATGATTATTTTCCTGTATTTGTAGGTATAGGAAGGATGCCTATCTTTTCATTTACTACTTAATCCAGTTCTGTGGCCACTCATGGATATTTACGAATATGACAGTCAGATTCTTTTCATTTGGAATAGGTAAAACTTCAAATTTTTAACTTTTAATCCTTTTTCTCACCTGGTCATGCTAAATTAACTTTTAAAACTTCTGTGAACCTCATCTAATATCCTACGCTCTAAAAGTTAATCATATTTTTCAGTAACAAGATTTCTTGCTTATTGCAAAAGCCAAGTGGAGGAGGGGGAAGGAGGGAAAGGAATTTGGCCTCCTCCTGAGTGGACAGTTTGCCTGACAAACAGACCGTGGCATTGAGGCGGTGCTATTGCATTCCTTTTTTTGGGGTCTGGATCAAACCTTAGCAGATTTGGTGTGCTTTGAGGAAGTCTGAGAATTTCACTGTGACATTAGATTAGCCAAATTCTTCCCATGTGTTTATTCTTCAAGTTTAAGGTAACTGGAGACGATTAATAAGTGAATATCTCCCATAATATTCACTATACTGCTATTTGGTTTCCTGAAAAAGTCATCTGTCTCTAAGAAAATGCCATGCTTTGTAGATGACTCATCACGTATACCAGAGTTGGCATTGATAGTTTGTCATAAGCTTCCTCCAGTTTCCTAAAAAGTAAATATTTCAAACAGCATTTCAGTTTTTTAAAAAAGTGAATCACTAAATGACTGTCAAAATCATATTCATGCTCCATCTCTCGTGGATCAGTGTCATCACAGTTTACTACTGTGGGGTGACTTGACAATTTGAGTAAGTGCTGGTTTCAGCTAAAAACAAACATGAAGAAGATAGCTGGGGGGAAGTCATGCTGTGCTCATCAATTCAGACTTCTGTATCATAAAGAAATGAATCTACTCATATAGAGAATGTACTGCAGACAATTGTATGCTGCCTTTTATTACTGAAAATGTACAGAAAAGTTCCTGATTTATTAAGAGTCTCCAGCAACATGACCTAAGGCTTGAATTCCAACAGAATGTTGGGCTTCTCCTAGCAGAGAAAATAGGTTATAAGAAAATTGCCTTGATGTTTTTTAGAAAACAATCTTCACTTGTAGGCTTTGAAAGTTAGCTGTAACTTGGTGGGTATATTACAGGCCATTTACAGCACCAGTTACATGCAACGAACATGTTCTTGAGCTTTTCCAGCAGGAAAATTGTTTGTAGCAGTGGACTCATTTCTTAATTATTATCCTGTCATATAATTATAATTGCTAATATAAAAGGAACATAATTTGTTCATATGGAAGGCAGACTGAAAACAACTAAATGTGGGGTTTTGAGTTAATGTGTAAATTAAGCAGCTCAACAGCAATCTAATCTAATTACCTGAATACCTGCCATACCTTCTTCACAGAATTTTATGCTTGAATAATGCTCTGTTCAAGGCTGTGGGCAAGAGCACGATATACCTCAGATATCACAAATTGCCTGTAAAATGGGAGTGCTGATCATAGCATCCATCTCATGGAGCTTCAGAGAAGCCTTAAGTTTTGTGCTTTATAGATTATAAATTATAGATTATTATTTTTATAGATTATTATCTATAATTTATAGATTATTATTGTGATCTCTAGTAGCCAAGTCTTCCTGTGGAAAATGTTTATTTTGGTGTTGGAGTCCAGGCAGTGTAGGGGATCAAACCTAGAGACTAAAGCCTACAATGCATGTGCTCTGTTAACTTGAGGGCTGCCCAGAAATGTTCTTAGCATGGTATGAGTTCATTAAAAATTACTTATTTTCTTTTCGTTATTTTTAAACCGCACCCTGCAGTGGCCATGAGGTTAGTCCTGGCTCTGTGAGCAGGAGTTACCCCTGGCAGTGCCCAGGTACCACGTGTGATGTGAAGGATCAAATGGGTTTGCCACACGCAAGGCAAGCACCTTATCTCCTGTACTTTCTCTCTGGCTCTCATTTAAAAATTCAAACTGAAAAAAATTTATCCTAGTTGGAGAAACATTTCTTTTCTTTCCACTTTCACCTCTCTGCACTGCAAACTATAAAATAGTCTCCATCAGAGTCCCAAATTCTAGTGTTAAAAAACGAACAAAAATCACAAAGTACTAATCAAATGTACATTTGTATAGAATATAACAAGGTTCAACTTGTTATTTGATCTTATGTTATCATTAATGTCTTTTCTATACAACCATGGGAGCTTATTGTTCTCATATTGTTGTTTTCCTGTCAGTGGAAGAGTTGCAGGCCTGACAGCTTTTAAAATAAGCTCAGCTCCAACCTAGATGCTCTTTACACTGTCTAGATTCTAACTGGTGCCTTTTATATGGAAATTGCTTTATAATATAATCTTTGGGGAGTACTCTAAAGCTAAAGCCATAACTTTGTCTATAACTTGGAAGTCTTCAAGATTTTAATTCTTTCTGGAGAGAAGCAATTAAAATGTACCACAATATGAAGTGTTGTATTTATTTTCATTGTATTTCTCATACTTTTAGAAGTCTGTTAGTAAATGTCTTACAGATACAATGAAAAAGAAGAAAATATCTCACTCTTTCTCCAAAGTGATGTACAGATTTGGATTGTGATCTAGTTTTTACTAACATTATCTGTATTTTTAATTCACTGGAAACAGATTCAGTGGTTGACACTTTTTATGCCATTGGACTTGTGATGCGTCTTTGCCAATCCATTTCTGTCCTGGAGTTGCTGCACATATTTGTCGGCATTGAGTCAAACCATCTTTTTCCTAGATTCCTACAGGTAGGTTTTAATCATATATTATTGTTGTTGTTATTATCATTACTATAAAATCTGTTTCATATCTTTTTTATATCTTGAATTTGTGGAAGCTAAGCAGCCAGTGTGTAATCCACATCAGTGAAGAGAATTCCATAAAAGCAAGGCACAGAACTTCAAGACACTGATCTATATGGGTCTGTGTAGGATACAGCAGGTAGCTTCCCTGGGGACAAGATTTCACAGCCTTTGTCCACTTTCACAATGCTACCCCTATGAAGCTGGTTAGCTGTGGATTTTTATTTATTTATTTATTTTTGCTGGGTTTGGGCCTCATCATGCTTTACTCAGGGCTCTGGGCTCAGGTATCACTCCTAGAAATACTCAGGTCATCATATCCTGGCACTAAGGATCAAAATAGGGTCAACTGAGTGCAAGGAAGTGCCTTATCTACTGTACGATATCTACCCCCAACCCCCACCCCAACTCCACCCCACAACTCCACCCTCACCCCAACTCTACCCCATGTGGTTTGATGTCTGACTCCTTCTCTATCACTGGTTACTGTGTCACTTGCCATCACTGGCCTGTTTCGGGGAAAGAAACCATCCATAATACTCAGCATAGACTATCAGGGGCCTGGAGGATGGCTTATGGGGTTAAAGCTCCTGCTGCTTGCCTGGCAAAGTGCAAGGCTGCAAATTGACATCCTTATGCTGCCTGCAAGGGAGATCCTAAGAGTTCTGCTGGCTGGCATTCCAGAGATGAAGGGGCCAGCAGATGATTTACTGATTTAGGAAGCACCCAGGGCATCCTGAGTAATCACAAGTGCAGTGCTGTGCATGAGCTGAAGGAAACCTGACCATAGGGTCCCTGGCAAAGGGAAAGCCAAAAGTTTCCTTTGTTTCTCTCCAAACAGTAGGATACTCCCCACCCATTTCTCATTCATTTTCCTGATGCTAAATACAGATGGAAAGGAGAGATCCATGTATTTATCTACTATAATGTCTCATCATAGACGCGGAGATCTAGAAATGAATTGAAATCCAATTCTAACCTCTTACTGAGTGTATGAATTTGAGTTAATAATAAACTAAAAATCATGGTTTTATTGACATGTTTACTTTTTAAGGATAAATTGGCTGATATTAATTTTTCAAAACATCATATTTCAAAATTAAGTCATTTAATTATTACCAAGGGGAACTGGAGTGATAGTGCAGTCAGTAGGACATTTGCCTTCCATGCAGCCAACCGGAATTCAATCCCCGGCAACCCATGTGGTCCCCCAAACACTGCCAGGAGTAATTCCTAAGTGCAAAGCCAGGAGCAAGCCCCGAGCATCACTGGGTGTCACCCAAAACGCAAAAAATAATTAATTAATTAATTAATACCAAGGTAGAAAATACATGTGAGAAACAGTCCAGGTAAATTTGTGGGAGAGAAAAAATGGAACATTTTGAATATATCTAAAAGATATGTACATTATTTTATACTTCTAGAATTATGACATTTTTACCTCCTAAAAGAAATTACTGTATAATTTAGAGATCTGTTTTTTGGAGTTCCAAAAATTTCAGAATGGAGGCAGAAAGATAGTTTAGCAGGCAAGAGGCTTTTCTTGCACAGATCTGACTCTGGTTCCCAGCACTGTGTATGATCTCCTAAGCACTGTTGAGAGGTCATTGCTGAACAGAGAGCCAAGGGTTAACCTCTGAGTACCATAGGGGATGGCCAACTCACCTCCCACCAAACAAAAGTTTAACAGAAACTTCAGAAATCATTATTAATTAAAATTCCAGTGCAGTCTTTACCAAAGTGCTTTCTGTGGGTTTACTTAAAGAAGGTACATTTCCAGGGGAGAGCTGAGTCTTTTTTTTTTTTTCTAAAAGGAGTGGTGGTAGGGCAAATAAGTTTGGGAACCTCTGCTCTAGAAACATATTATGATAAACTATATCTTGGTTTGATAACTACAAAAAATGACAAATATACATTGAAACTTTTAATTCAAATGGAAGGATGTAAAGCTAATAGTTAACAGGGCTCCAAGTCATTAAGTGCGGCTAGAGGGGGGTAAGGTGCTTGCCTTGCAATGAGGCCCATCCCCACACTGCCAGGGGGCACTCTGAGCACAGAGCCAAAAATAACCCTAAAGAACCCAGGTGTAGCCCGATTTTACCCTGCTCAGTTTTTTAAGTGTTTATTTTCGGCTGAGAAAATAAGTCAAGGGGTGCCACAGAAAGGAACACGACACCATTCCTATCCTGGGCTGTTTAATAATATTATGTCTGGTCTCATTATATCTTATGCCTTCCTCTTTATCTCTGAGACATTGTCTACCTTCTAGTTCTTGGTTCTTTTAATTATCCATTGTCTCTGCTATGCTTTCATAGAAATGAATGGTTTTGGGGAAAAAAAGTCTCAAATACAGTGTCCAAAGTTTCATTTTCATCTTCCTCCTCTTATTAGTTTCACAGACAATAAGAACTCTTCATTATGGGATGACTCTGTTTTAAAATAACCAAAAGCCCGTCTCAGGTTGTGTAACAATACTTGGTTTCCTGTTTCCCCATTTTCAAATGAAGTAAGTGTAGTTGAGAATGTGACTGAGTGACTTACATGATACTTACAGCAAACTGCATCCGGTGTCCTAAAAAATCAAGGCCTAAATTGTCTGCAGTGGCCTGAAAACCAGGCTTACTCATTTGTGATGTTTTTTGCATGTTGTTTTTGTGAGATTTCTAATTCACCACCATTTTCTCTTTTAGGGAATTGGTCTTCCATGATAAGTTATTCCTAAAAGAAATTGGAACTATTAGCTAGTTGAGTGAGTAGGATCATGTGTATCAAATGGTGTTAGTGGTGTGCAGAGGAAGGGTATATGTTTTCTGTTTTGTTTTTCCTGTGCAGTTCAGCACCCAAATCCAGAGAAGTGGGGTAGGGTGGACAGTTGGGTTTTTAGACCAGCTGTGTAGTGCTTTCCTGGCAGGTGATGCTGGCCACAGAGCCATGGTTGGTGATGCTTGGAGGTTCATGATGTGCTGGGGATTGAACTTTGGGTCTCACATAATACTAGACATATAATACTAGACATAAGCTCTATACTTGGTCTAACTCCTCAGTCCCCATTCTGCACAGTTAAAATGTTTTATGCATGCATCTGTTTTGATAGGGAAAAACTATTAGGAATTTTTGAAATAATGTCTAATAATAAAAGGGGAAAGGTAAAATTCACTGACAATAAGTCTATCACAATTAAAGAGCACATAATTTTTTAAAGAGCTTTAAATGGTAGTTTAAACAAAACTGTAAATGGTAGGGTGTCATGTATAAAACATGCCAGCACCATGCCCTCCACCAGAGTGTCCACTTTCTCCACCATTGTCCCAGTGTTCATCCTCATCCCACCCCTTCACAGTTTCTTTTGCCTTTGAGCGTTTGTATTTCTCCTACTGTTTCTTTATATCCCGAATATGAGAGAGATCATTTTGTATCTGTCCCTCTCCTAACTTCACGAGCATGATACTCTCCAGATCCATCCACATTGCATGATTTCATCTTTTCTTAAACCCAAGTAGCATTGTGTATATGTACCATAGCTTCTTTATCCAGTCATCTATTCTTGATCATTGCAAGGAACAATTGAACTCCTATGTTTATTGCAGCACTATTCATAAAAGACAAAATCTGGAAACTACCCAAGAGTCCAAGAAAGAAATTTTTATATATTAAAACACACACATACACACATTAGGGGAAATCACAAAGCTATAATAGTTGCTTATAGACACCCATTTGTTTGCTAAATACATTTTGTAAGTACAAGTAGGCATACATACCAATTAAAATTTTGTAAGGAATATAGTATACCTTTCATATTTTAAATTTATAAAAGTAAAAAGGATCCCAAAGAAGCTTATAATTACTGTATTAAAAATATAGGTTAAAAACTAAGATTTCTCCTTTCTAACCCCTTACTCCAAATGGACTTGCAGGGGTCTAAGCAATAGTGCAGCAGGTAGGACGCTTGCTTGCTGCTGACCAGGGCTAGATCTCCAACATCCCATAAAGTCCCCAGGCCCCTACCCCACTAGGAGTGATCCCTGGGCACAAAGCCAGGGATAAGTCCTGAGCACCACTGAATGTGACCCAAAAAACCAAAAACAGGAAGGAAGGAAGGAAGGAAGGAAGGAAGGAAGGAAGGAAGGAAGGAAGGAAGCAAGGAAGGACAAAACCAAACCAATTTGACCTGCATTTGATTACCTTGGTTTTCAAAGAGATGTTGAATTAGAAAATTAGGCTTTTTAAAGTAAATTTCATCAAAGTACTAGTTCTTCCAAGTGGACACCTCCAAATTGCTGGTTAAATTAAAAGTGGCAGATTAAAAAAGTCAAATCTTAAATATTTGATGTTGATTAAGAAAATCAAGGAGGCCATTGTTTTAAGCTTTTGTTTGTTTGGTTTGGTTTTAGGGGTCACACTTGGTATAACTTTTAAATGAAGGCTTAAAAAAATAAACTAGAATCTGGATACTATGCAGTAGGGTATCCCCCAAAATAAGACAAGTGAAAAAAAATCAGAAGAGATTTGGATTGTGTAGATTACAGTTCCAGACCTGAGACAAGTCACTTTCACCCTGTAAAATGCAGTGTCTTTGTAAAAGTTATATAAAAATTATAGCCCTTCTTTGGGTTGCTATAGAGAGCAAATGAAATAGTGAATATTAGGAAGTTGGTTATTTTTTTAGCAAGGTAAGAATCTGTCAACCAAGGATGAAACACAGGACACTTGCTTTGCATGTATAAGACCCTGGGTTCAATTCTCAGGAACACACACACACACACACACACACACACATACACACACACACACACACACCCGCACAGAGAAACAGAGAGAGAGAGAGAAAGAGAGAGAGAGGAATATATCTACTAAAATTTTCCCATTGTGTTGCCATTGAAGATGCTTAGGTTAGAGTTAAATAAATAGTGCATGATTTTTTTTTTAAGAAGTAGACTGACTGAGGATGGGAGTTCTCACACACCCACATGTATGTATGGGTGTTGTGATGGGGTGGGGAAGAATGTTGATTGCTGATTTATATGTATGCAATTAGAATTCCATGACTAACACACACAGACTGTTAAGTGAAACTTTTCAATACAATAGTTTTACTGTATAGTCCTAACTTCTCTTTAAGGCAATTTTTCTCCTCTGTACTCACCAATTAAGAGGTAGATTGATATGAACAGCTTTAACAACTCGGAGAACCAGGAGAAAACACACACACACACACACACACACACAGATCTGGTTTTAATTTGGGCAAGTCACTTAACTTTGCTGGCTTCCAAATTCCTGAAAAAAGGTAGTGTTGGGCTAATATCCAGAAGGGTCCTTATTGATCAATCTGAGCAAGCAGTACTTGTTTTTTTCTTCCAGTAGTTAACAATATAATTTAAAGTGTGTGTACACACTCATGTGTGCTTTATTTCCTGAGATTATTTTTTTTTGCGGTACCATGAAACACAGGTCTCATGAATACAAGGTTTGTGCATTACTGTTCAACTTCCTGAGATTTTTATCAAAAATTAAGATATTCCTAATTATCAGGCACCGATCAAATGTAAGATTAGGTGATTCCTACTTACTTGGTTGCTGTCAAGATCTTATATCTAAAGTCTGCCAGGTGTTATGACAACAAGCTTAGATCATTCAGTAATTATAATTTCAGATACATAAATTCTTATATAATTAAATTAAATCAAGAAACTAGTGCATTGTAAAGAAATGCTGAATAAAGAAAAATAGCTACATGGATTGTTTCCATAAATTGACTAAGATTTGAATCATATCTAATTCCCTTAGCCAAACAAGAGTCCTCTTGACTCACTGCTCTAATCATAAACATCCTCAGATAGCTTATATATGTGAATTTCTGATCATGTGCCCCATTGTTGGCAAATCTTGTATTTCTCTGCATATGGTGACTTTCTAGGAACTATAGCTCTGATTCTAAGTCATAAATTGTCCCAGTCTTTCCTCCTTGATCCACTTTTTTTTAATAAGTTTTAAAAGATATATATAAGTCCTTGCTTTTCTTGATCATTAATATGCTCACTCAAAATTCTTGATTCCTGAGTGTAAAGTGTTCCTTTAGATGCATGTAAAATAAAGCACGTATTGGGAATAATAATAAAATATAATTTTTATTATGCAATTAAATTTTTGATTGGGGAAAGAGAAGTTATTTTGGAAGGAGGCAATAATTGGAGCTCATTATAGTGTATGGGTTCTTAATGATTTGTGTTTGCTGGCTTGGGAAAAGTGAATATGCTGATTTTTTTTATTTTCTAGTAGCTTATGAGGGTTAGGATGATATTACTCCTTCACTAAGTCCCCAACTCACCGCCCCTTCCCCAACAAAAGCTGTTATGGCCTCCCTATGAATGAAATTGGAATTTATTGGTATGACATTTAAAATCCTTTGCAACCCAGCTCCAAGTACATTTTCAGTTTCACTCCTATTAATCTTTTCTATGCACCCAACTCAACTCTCCACCCAGGGTTTACTTTTCTTTGCCAGTGCACCCGCATTTTCACATCTCCACTTCTTTACTGAGGCTGCCCTTAGTCTGTTTTTCCAGTCAGCCTAACAAATGTCTATCCAGACTTTTAAAAAAAAAAGTATTTGGGCCATGCTCAAGGATTACTCTTAACTCTGTGCTCAGGGACCACTCTTGACAGGCTCAGGGTACTATAGGGAGTGTTGGGGATTGAACCTGGGTTGGCTATGTGCCAGGCAGGCACCCTACCTGCTGTACTTGCTCTGGCCCCCTACCTATTTTTGAAAGCCCAACTGGTATGTTGTCTGTCTTCATAAATCTCTCTGAATCTTTTCCCCTTAGCAGATATCTCCCTCCTTGTGCGTCCATACATATCACTTTCTGTGAGCATTATTTACACTATGTTACAATTTCTGCTCCACATTCTCCATTGCTACCCTTTAGAACAAGGCCCATATTATCATTACATATAGGTAGTGGTAGCATCTAATACATAGTGGACACTCCACAAAAGCTTGCCAGAGTAAGATATGTGTGCATATATCACAAGAAGGGAAATAATCCTGATTCAGATAAGGCATCTTATCTTTTCATTCATCATACACAATTTGGAGAATCAGTAAAACAAAAAGGGAGGAAATGAAATTCACCTATAACTCTGCTCCCTCAGAGATAGTGTAAACAGTTTAGTATGCATATATCCATTTAAAGCATACTTTTCAGAGGAACTCTGGTTTTTAAAATTAGAAAATTACCTCAATGCTTAACAGATGATCCTAATTCTTGATTTTTATTTTTTTGTTAGCTCACAGAGAGAATAATCATCCTCTTTGTGGTGATCACCAGTCAAGAGGAAGTCCAAGAGAAATATGTGGTGTGTGTTTTATTCATCTTTTGGAATCTATTGGATATGGTTAGGTAAGGAAGCAAAATAATCTCTTAAAACAAAGCCAAATTGCTTTCAACAGTGAAAGCAATAGTACTAGTAATAGCTGCTTACATTTGGTTACTCTGAATAAGAGAGAAAAACATAACCTTTTTTCAAATACAATCTTGATATGGAAATGTATTTTTAGTGCTTTCCATAATGGGCATATCAAAGATAATGAAAACCTATCGTGGTATTACAAGAGCAAATCAGTGCATTCAGGTTTCCAGCAGAAGACTTGGCATCACACCAATTTGGAATAAACCTCACAGCTGTTTGTTAATGAAAGGCATTCCTTGCAATCACTCATACATGTTATTTTAATAAGCAAAGCGATACTTTTAGTATATCAGAGTCTGAATTTACAAAGTTTGTTTCTGTGAATGCTAGAATATTTTATAAAGACAATTTCATCTCTTTCAGGGGAAAATGCAGCTCAATATGCAGACTTTTAAAAAAATAAATTCCAATTCCATTAAGCTCAAATGACTTAAATTCCTTGGTCAACTCCCTGAAAATTGTAGGGTCTCAGGTTAAGAACCCTCATTCTATCTAGATTGTTTTCAGTTTCTAATTCCAAATCTTTGCAGTAAGATGAATCTGGGCTGATATCTACCAACTGTGGTGTGAACTAGCCCCTTGGATTTGGTGTTTCATGTGGGGGCTGACTCATGGCTATTTCTCCAGCTTTCACACATGAGAATGGGTCCTCCCATCCGAAAAAGTTGGATACAGCTAGGTAGGCAAAGACTCTGGTATGCTAAGTGAGGTTATGTAATTTTTATATTGTCAATAATCTAGCTGAGTTGGTAAAGGTAAAGGCCCTCCTGTTGATCGTCGATTTGCTCGAGCGGGCCCAGTAACGTCTCCATTGGAGACTTTGTTGTTACTGTGTCTGGCATATCGAATACTCTCGGTAGCTTGCCGGCTCTCCGAGAGGGGCGGAGGAATCGAACTCGGGTCGGCCATGTTGGCCGCTTGTAAGGCGAACGCCCTACCCGCTGTGCTATCGCTCCAGCTGAGTTGAAATATTTCTAAAAAATAAATTGAGCTGTAGGGTAAATTAGAAATATCATGTTGAGTGAAAATGCTGTAATTGGACAAGAGATTATGTAAGGATGGGGTAAGGCATTTGCCTGGCACACTGTCAACCCTGGTGCTATCCCCAGCATTGCATATGGCACCTGGAGCACCACCAGTTCTGATCCTTGTGAACAAAGCCAGGAGTAAGCCCTGAGCACTGCTGAGTGTGGCCCAGCGCTGGAACTCCTCCAAAACAAAATTAAATAACTAATTCTTTGTATGTGTTACTTAGTAAACCAATTCTCCCTTCTTCAGTAGCCCATAATTTCTGTCCACAAGACACTGGAGCCTCATCTGGGACTGCGGATTTCTGCCGATTGTTTTGAGTGTTGATTCTGTCTTAAATGAGCTTAGCAGACCCAATAAAAAACAAAGTTGTTGCATTAAGAGTGGTGTTGTGGTATCAGAAAGACTTTTGGACACAGAAGTAGATCTCAGAATTTACTTGGCTCAGTTATTTACTTGCTTTAGCATCTATGAAAATCAATTAATCTCTTTTTATTTATTTGCTTTATTGGTTTTGGGGGATCATACCTGGCTGTGCTCAGGGCTTACTCCTCACTCAGCACTCATAGATCACTTTCGGAAAGTGCTCAGGGCGACCACATATAGTTCCAGGGACAGAACCCAGGTTGGCTACATGCAAGGTCAGTGCTTTACCCACTGTACTCTCTGGTCCTTAATCTCCTTTTAAACTAAAAGTATTGAGATATAATTCACACACCTAAAAACTAGCCCTTTAAAAATATAGCATCGTGTTTTAGTGTATTTAAGGCCAAAGATATATGCAACCAATTAAGACCACTTTTATCACCCTCATAAGAAACCCAAGTAATTAGCATTTTTTTCCTATACCCACTACATAATTATAGCCTCCAGCAAACATGAACATAGTTTCTGCATGGATTTCCCTATTTTGGATATTTAATATAAATGGAATCATATAATCTGTGGCTTTTTGTGACTGCTTTATTTATTTACTTATAATTATTCTGGAGGGGACCATATCTGGCAATACTTAGGTGTTACCCTGGCTTTGCACTTGGGAATTACTCCTGAAGGTGGTTGGGAGACCACAGGGATCAAATCTAGGTTGGCTGTATACAAGGCAGCCACACTACCTGCTGTACTATCACTCTGCCCTCTGGCTTCTTTCATTTAGCATATTTTTAAGGTTCATTCATATTTTCACATGTACTAGTATTTCATACCTTTTTATGTCTGAGTAATATTCCATAGGCCAGACAATAGGTTAATTCTGCTTTGGGGTCCTGAGAAGCACGCCATAAGCATCTTTATACAGCTTTTGTATGCTCATATGTTTTCATGTCTTCTAACTTGGTAATGAAATTCCCGAGCAACTACATTTCTTGAAACTCATTTGTTTCCCCCTGTAAGGTGGGAAGTACATTTTTCTTTCTGATTTACTCTAGAATGAACTTTAAAAAAAATCAAGGACTGGGAAGTTTTCTTCACCTGATAAACACATCTATTAAAAACAAATCATTTGATAATAAGACAGATGTGCCCATTCTTGCTGCTTCTGTTAAATTTAATACTGAGTTGGGAGTTCTAGTTATGGCAGATAGGTAAGACTATTAGATAAAAGGCATCAATGTCAGCAAGAAAGCCTTAAAATTATGTTGGCACATAACATCATCTTATGTATAAAAATATAAAGAATCCACTAAAAAATAACTGATAAACAAGTTTGACTGTTTATGAAATATAATCTTAGCATACAAAATCAACTTGTAAATTTATATACTTAAATGATTCATTCAAAAATTAATAAGAGAATTAAATATAATGTATTATCCCCCCAAAAAAAATATGGGACCTTCCTTAATACATTGAAGGAAGGACTTGCTTTGACATAGTTAGTCCAAGTTCTAGTCCTTCACCATGTGGTGAAGGTGGGTTGCTCAAGGATCCCACCAGGAGTGATCCTTGAGCACAGAACCAGAATTAAGACCTGAGCACTGCCAGGTGTAGACCAGAAATAAAAATTTAAAAAAATTTCTATTTTATAAAGTAGTTCATAATATTTGATTACATTTAGGGCGTTTGCCTTGCATGCAGCCAACATGGCCGACCCGAGTTCGATTCCTCCGCCTCTCTCGGAGAGCCCGGCAAGCTACCGAGAGTATCTTGCCCACATGGCAGAGCCTGGCAAGCTCCCTGTGATGTATTCGATATGCCAAACACAGTAACAACAAAGTCTCCAATGGAGATGTTACTGGGCCCGCTCGAGCAAATCGATTATCAACGGGAGGGCCTTTACTTTTACCTTTACTAATATTCAAACACCAATCCCACCATCATTACACCTTCCCACCACTTTATTCTGGATGTTTCCACCCCAGACCCCAATCCCTGCCCCAAAGCAGAACCGAAATAATATATTTTGTACTGTTTATTATGAAAAACCATTGAAAATGCTACAAAAAATATCCTTAGAGGAAAGAGTGTGAAGATTGTTGTATTTCACTCAGGGACCATTAAGCCCTTCTATAAGAGATACTAACATGTTGTTAAAGGTTGAGCCTGGTGTGTTTTTTATATATGTATCTGTAAAAAAAAATGTTTATTTTCCCCTCTAAGATTGGTTGCCTCCTACTGTGAACAGTATCAAATTTGGTGCCATAATCTTGGAGTACGGGTAGGGTGTGTGGTTTGAAGTATCGTGTGGCCACAAATGTGGTTGCACGGTCCAAGAATAGATTCACTCATGGGTGATGCTCAGTCTGATTGTGTGGAGAGTGGCTGTGAGCAGCGATGGCTGGGTTCTGGGGTTGTCGGCTGCTGGGGCTGGGTCCCTTGGGGTGTGGAGGGGTCTCACCCGCCCTCCTCCGGGGCACCACAAGTGAAACAGCCTGGTGGCTGTTTGGTGGCATGGTTATGGCGAGTGTCAAGTTATGCTTCTTTAGGGAGAGAAGGACATGCAATTTTTTTTTAATTAAGGAATAAATTTAACAAAAGTTTTCCAGACTATAAACACTGTTTAAGGAAAGAATCTAAAGAAAAGATATCAGATATATGGATTGAAGACAATATTGTTAAGATGGCAACACTTTCTGAAATGATCTACAGACACAATGCAACCCCTATCAGAAACTCTGCTGACTTCTTTGAAAAAATCAAGCTGACCCTAAAACTTGTGGAAAATCAAAAAAACTCAAAGTCACCAAAAGAATTTGGGGGGGAGGGGAAAAAAAGGACGTGGTTGGGAGAGTCACACTTCCCAATTTCAAAACTTACTACAAAGCAATACTAATCAGAGAATAATATTGACATAAGGATTTTATGGTAAAACAGAATTGACAGTTCAGACAAACTTCCTCACATTTATGTATTTTTTTAGGGGTGGGGAGGGGGGGCTCACCTAGAGGTGCTCAGAGCTTACTCATAGATCTGTACTCAGGAATCACTTTTGGCAGTGCTCAGGGGACCATATGGGGTGCCAGATTTGAACCTGGATCATCTGTATGTAGGGGAAACACCCTACTGATTGTACATTCGCTCTGGCCCTTATGGTTAATTTTTGATAAAGATCCCAAGATTACTTAATGGGGGAAAATAATCTTTTCATCAAACGATACTGGAATAATTTGTTCTTCATGTGCAGAGGCTGAACCTCTCCTTCAAACCAATGAAACATACCCAAAACTGTCAGAAACCTAAATATAAGAGCTAAAAACTAGAAAACTCAAAACGGCATAGGGATAAATCTTTGTGATGCTGAATTTGGTGATGGAATCTTAGACATGACAGCAAAATGCGGATACATAGACTTCATCCAAAGTGCTTTTAATGCTATAAGAAGATGCTTATAATAAGAGAAAGAAAACACAAGATAGACCATTTTTTTCATTTAGATTTTGTAAAGACAAAATTGTCATGTTTATCAAGGGCTTTCACTGCTGGTAAATTGGCATATAGAATTATACACAGAAAAGCAAATGCAAAAACCTTTCTGATAGAATATATAGAAAATTGGGATTCATCATTGCCTTTAAGGAATCTAATTGGGTATGGAATGTTAGAAAGAAAGGTTTTATTTTTCTTCATTTGTATCACCAGGGATGGTATTTTGTTTTGTAGTATGTATGTATGTATGTATGTATCTATGTATGGCCTATTCCATTAGTTCTCAAGATCCTTGGACCAGTGGCATTAACATCAGCAAAACTTGTTTGTACTCAAATTATCACATATATTTACTGTATCAGAACCACTGAAGCAGACATTTGGGGGGCTAGCATTTCACAGCTAGTGCTTTTTCAAGTTTTCTAGATAACTCTGGTGTATGCTTACAAGAGAGAAGCAATGTTTGTTCAGAAAAATAGAGATGCATACTGTTTCATCTATAACATCAAGAAGGCAGATTTCAAACTGCCTACTGTATCCAAGATAAGATCCTGAGGCCAGTTTTTCCTTTTTTTGACCTGGCTGTGTTTGGGGACCATGCAACAATAGGTTTTATTCCACAAAGCATGTGTACCGTCTTCTGAGCCATCTTGAGAGCCCCAGACATTAGTCCTTGAAGTGATCACATATGGTATAACTACATAAGCAGAGGGATGCAAATAAGGACGTGGGAGTTTTCCTTTTATTTAAAAAAATTAGATCACATATATTTACTGTATTAAAATAATTAAATGATCACTGCAATAAAAAATTAAGTGCTCATTGCTTGGCTTCTAAGTGGAATTGAAGTCCTAATAAGGAAACTTGTACCACAATTTTCTGGTGCTAAGAGTTAATATTTTTCCTCTTTTAACTTCCACAGTTAGCCACAATATAGTCCACGAGAAGCCTGACTTATATGCCCAGTCCAAAAAAACCCCCAATAAAACAACAACAAAAAAAACCCTTTTTTTCCTCCAACTTAAATCATAGGAAGCAAAGTGTGGTATTTGCACACCTTTGAATTTAAAATATCTTTCTTTTCCGTTTTTTTGTGGTGCCAGGGATTGAACCCAGGTCCTCACACATGCAAGGCAAGTGCTCTACCATTGAATTATGTTCCTACCCCTACAGTTGCCAGTTTTCTCTGTGTATTTAATTATGTAATAAGGCATTTTCTTCTGTTATTTCCCAGACAGCAGCAGCAGAAAGGATGCTTATGAGCTTCTTGTCTCTTTCCAGGTACACGCACAGCATGTTAGCAATCCTGGGTATTTCCTATGCTGTCTTAACATGGCTCAGTCAAACACTTTGGATGCCAATTTATCCTTTGTGTGTTCTTGCTGAAGGTAAGAAAAGAGTGACTTGCAGTATTATTGCTTACTGACAAGCAATCTAGTCATAGTGATTCACTAAATTTTTGATGATTAAGTTACTATTTTTGCAACTGCTTAGCTGGCTTAATGTATGTTTCCTGGCTTATTTCCCTTAATGCACAGAAGCAACGCATCAGAAATGAGGACATCTGAGTATAGGCCCTTAATTTGATCATGTGTTTTTGGGTAAATCATTTAGCCTTTCCAAGTCTGATTACTCACTCAAAATGTGAGCGAGACAGTGATTATTTATAATGCATAAATCCTGTTCACTTTGCTGGATATGAACTATGCTTCTCACTTACCATCATCGCCACCACCCCCGCTTCCCTCCCCTGAACACACTCTGGAGCTAAGTACCTTTAGATGAATCATCAGGTTCTCAGGGAAGCAGTCCCTGACCTTCATTCGAGTTATTTTCCCCTAACAGCATCATCATGGATTTTTTTTACAATACCTGTCTCAATTGTTAAACTAGTTTATGATTTTTTGGGGGGTGGGGCTGTTTTATTTTTGTATCTTGACTAATCTATAGATTCTGTGAGGATGCAGGGTTATTTTTTTAAATAAAATTTAAAAAATTTTTTTGGCCACTCCTGGTGATGTTTGAAGGACCATGTGGTGCTGGCAATAGAACCCAGGCTTCAGCCCTTTGAGCTGCTATTCCAGTCCACAAAATTCTTGTTTCATTGCTTCCTTCCTTCCCCTTGAGAGCCCAATATATATGCTCAATAAACAATGGGTGAATTATGGAGCACAATATGAAAAAGGATAATTGGTCTAAATGTAAGCCTAAAACTTGAAATTATCATGAAAATTACAAAAAGTTTGAAGATATTTGACAAATATGTGCTACTTTCTATAATGGATTTAACATCCAGGCAGGGAAATTTTCTGAAATACACATGATGTAAGTTTTTAAAAGGTACAAAGAAATTATGAAAGCATGTTAAGATATCTAAAGTAAAACATATGGAAACAAATTTAATATAAAATGATGGTAATGTTGGCGATAATTATATAGTTGATAGTAAATAGTCACATCTTCTATTTACTGATGGCCAGAGAATAAAAGCTTATATTAGAATAAACCATAACTCACAGAATTTTAAAATTGGTTCTGTTTTTCAAAAGGAAGAATTTTTAAAAAAATTTTTATTAGTGAAACACCATGAGGTACAGTTATAGACTTACAAATTTTTGTGCTTGGGTTTCAGTTATACAATGATCCAGTACCCATCCCTCCACCAGTGCCCATTCTCCATCATTTACATTTTTTAAAAAAAATTTTTGTTAGTGAAACACCATGAGGTACAATTGTAGATTTACAAATTTTTGTGCTTGGGTTTCAATTGTACAATGATCAAATACCCATCCCTCCACCAGTGCCCATTTTCCATCACCACGGGTCCCAGTATCCCTCCCACCCCCACCCCCCCATCCCACCCTGCCTCTGTGGCAGGGTATTCCCTTTTGTTCTCTCTCTCTCAAAAGGAAGAATTCTTAATTTTTGTTTTGTTGCCACAATTGGCAGTGCTCAGGGCTTACTCCTGGTTCTGTGCTCAGAGATCACTCCTGGCAGGGCTTGGGGAACCATATGCGGTGCCAAGGACTGAACCCAAGTCAGCCGCATGGAAGGCAAGTGCCCTTCCTGTTGTAGTATCTCTATGTCCCCTAAGAATGATTAAAATTTGAAGTATGTTATGACAAGAATCTAGAAAATAATATTGTGGTTAGGGATGTGGTTCAGGAGTAGACCCATGTCTTCCATGCCTTGCATACCTGAAGTGCTGGATTGTTCCTAGGTTAAATCCCCAGCTCTGAAAACAACAAACAATAATAATAATAATCTTGAAACAATTTTATCTTTTTGGCTACACCTGGTGGTACTTGGGACTTACTCTTGGTCCTGCACTCAGGAATCACTCCTGGTAGGGCTTCAGGGACCATATAGGGTATCAGGAATTGAACCCAGATCAACTGCATGCAAGGGATGTATCCTACACTTAAAATTATTTTTTAAAATCCAGACTCCCTTGTACTTTGCAAATGAAATCCTTTACTCATTTAAACATTTATTGAAAACATTCTTTTACTATGATATGTGAAAAATATTATAAAGATTGCATAAAGGGTAAGACACGAATGATTTTTAATAAAAACAAGGAGTAAATAAATGCACAGAAAAATTTCCCATTTAAATATTCCATAATTTAAAAAATTTTGGAGCCATACTCAGCTAAGTATTCAGGGTTTACTCCTGGCTCTGTGCTCAAAAGTCACTCAGTAGAGCTTTGGGGACTTTGTTGGATGCTAGGGATAAACCCAGGTCAGCCATGTGCAAGGCAAGAGTTCTACCCATTGTACTATCACTCTGACCCCAAATATTCCATAATTCCAAACCATCTCCTGTTTACCCAAGTTATGTTTCTTTTCTTTTTAAATGTTTTTTTGATTAGTCATGGCTCTGTACTAAGGAATTACTCCTGGTGGTACCCAGGGAACCATATGGGATGCTGGGAATTGAACCTGGGTCAGTCACATGTAAGGCAAGCATCCTAATTGTACTTGGTCCCTAGCCAAGTCATGTTCTATCTGGCAGTCATACACCCTTATTAAAATAAGATTTACAAACTTATTCTTGCAATTAAAAATAAAGTATATGCAGGGAAATATAGTGCCAGAAGCATAAATGACAAAATGTCACTAATAAATGCATTCTGGGAAATGAACTTACTATAGATGATTATAATTTTATTATATGTTTCTATAAATTTCAGATGTCTCAAAGTATAAAAGATATGTAGTTAGGAAAAATCTTGACTTTTGGTTCACCAGAATATCTTTTTATAATTATAGTTTCTCATCTTTTTAGTGTGAGACAAAAAACAAGTTTATAAAAATAACCAACTCAACTATTGATATTGACTGAATTTGAGATTTTGGTGCAGCTTATGGAAATCTTAGAGGGGATATTCCAATGTTTTTTGTGGAACCTCTGTTGACACTCTGGCTAGTTCGAACAACTGTGGGTGCCTGATATTTTTCTTTGTCTTAAAATATATCCAATTTTATTTTGAAGTAATTTTGAATTCATAAGATTTTTTAAAATTTTTAAAATTTTTTTTATTATTGAAACACCATGAGGTACAGTTATAGTCTTACAAATTTTTGTGCTTGGGTTTCAGTTATACAATGATCGAGTACCCATCCCTCCACCAGCGCCCATCCTCCACCACCATGGGTCCCAGCATCCCTCCCACCCCTCATCCCCCTCCTTCCCACCAGATTCATTGATTTGCTCGAGCAGGCCCAGTAACGTCTCCATTATGAGACTTGTTAACCAGATTCATAAGATTCTTTAAAAATACATAGTTCATATGTACCCTTCACTCAGCTCCCCCTAAAGATAGTATCTTACATAACTATAACACATTATCCTTTCATCCTGCAAAACGATATTAAAAATCTGTACATGGGGTATAATTTCTTGGAACATTCATCTCTTTTTGTCTGACACCAGGCACTTCCCTTGAAAATAATTTAGGTCTGTACTTGTCACAGAGCTTCTCAGAATTGTTGTTAAATACTGCTGGGGTTGGGGCAGAAGGTTGCAGCAGTGACTCCTAGGTGGTAAGGCTGAGAAAATATCAGGTAAAACTAGTTTCTTTTTTGTGAAACATTTCAGAATCTCCACTTTGATAATGTGTGTTGTGAGATGCAAGAGGAAAGTAGATGCAGTCCTTTCTAAATTCATTTGTCACTCCTAGTTGTGGTTATGGAGACAGATGTATTTCATTACAAGAAACACTGTACATACTTGCTCTGTGGTATTTCTCTTATAATAAGAATTACAATGAACAGAAACCCAACAAGTCACAATGCTGTAAAGATTCTGCCAATTTCATTATTCAGAAGGTTCCTATGTTGAACCATTGCTTTAGCTAAAGGATTCAACAATCGTAACCGAAGTGTTATTATCAAACTGAAATTATCCTTCAACTTTGCAGACATACATGCATATCCCTCTAACAAATCCAGGAGAAAAGCCTTCATAAGTCTTTGTTTTTTCTTTAAACAGCATTTGCCATCTATCAGTCGCTGCCTTATTTTGAATCATTTGGCACTTACTCCACTAAACTGCCCTTTGACGTATCCATTTATTTTCCTTACGTGCTGAAAATATATCTCATGATGCTCTTTATAGGTGAGTGGCTTTTCTGTTTTGCTTAGATTTTGCCAACTTCCGTACTTTTCAGTCTCTGCTGCTATCCGCCTTGACAGAAAGGTCTGTAACAGGGTAGAGGGAAGTGAAAACAGAACACAATGAACTAGCTCCTGTTAGTACTTAGACCTGGTCCATCCATCCTTCTTCCCTCCCTTCTTCCCTCCCTTCCTCCTGTCCTCCCTTCCTCCCGTCCTTCCTCCTTATGTCACTTTTATTGAATCACTGATAGACCCTTATAAAGCTGTTCATGACTAGATTTCAGTCATACAGTATTCCAACACCCATCCCTCCACCAGTGTACATATCCCAGCACTAGTGTCCCCAAGTTCCCTCCCATCACCCCCACCCCCTGCCTGCCTCTATAGAAGGCACTTTTCTTCTCTCTCTCTCCTCTTTGGACATGTGGTTTGCAATATTGAAAAGGTACTTGCTTTATGTAAGAAACAGACTTTTTTGGGGGGTGGGGTGGGGAATGAGAGTGGGGAAGGAGGACAAATGTGTTAGTGCTGGGACACCACGTGCTACCAAGGATTAAACCTGGAGCTCCTATGGTAAAGCATGTGCCCATCCCTCTGAGCCATATTTGCTCCCTGAAATACAGAAGCTGGGCTTTGTCATTGGTTATTTGGTTTTGGGTTGTGGGCACAAATCCAAAGTGAGTCCCTGGTGGAGCTCAGGGATTACATCAGGTATTGGGGCACAAACCCTGCGCCTCCTGCTTATAAAATATGCCCTCCAGCCCACCAAGTTATCTCTCCAGCTCTGCAAAAGTGTGAAGGTTATAACAATAGACTTAGGTATCTACAAACAATATTCTGCTGAAAATAAATAGGTTGGGGGCCCAAGAGATAGTACTGCAAGATGCTTGCCTTGCATGTGGTTGACGCAGTCTCTGCCATCACATATGATCCCTCAAGTCTAGCTAGGAATGATCCCTGAGCACAAAGCCAGAAGGAAACCCTGAGAGCAGACAAATGTAGTTCCCAAAGTAATTAAATAATAAAAGTAAGAAAAGTAAACAGGCTTAGGTTTTTCTATTTTTCTCATTTACATTTTTCCCCGTTTTGTCTGATGGACAGGAATTTTCTGAGGCAGACAATGATGTTAAAGATCCAAAAACTGTATGAAACAAAAGCAGGGTGAGAAGATTTGATCAATTAACTTTATTTGGTGACACCAGTCCCTCCCAGCCAGGGAATTATGGGTAGTGGGGTGGGAGGAACTTCCATTATTAAACTTTAGTTTCTGCAGCTCCAACCTTCACAAATTCCCAAGATATTGATGACCTCTAAAAAGTGACCCCTGTAGATATGCAAGAACTGCTGATATAAAGAGATGAAGAAAGTGAACTATGAGAAGGAATAGAGAAGGCTATACTAAAGAATGCAAAAGATAATTTCTTGCAAATGAATGGTAGGATAGCAAAGTTAAGCTTCACTGCTTTGGGCTCCCTTGTCTTGTCCCAGGAATCCAGGCAGCACTGACTGCAATTTGCAACTGAAAATTGAAATGGTTCTTTCGAGAGAAATGGTTAACTAACCTCAGTTACTTTTCTCATTCCTTCCTCCATGTTAGGTATGTATTTTACCTACAGTCATCTTTACTCAGAAAGAAGAGACATCCTCAGAATCTTTCCCATTAAAAAGAAGAAAATGTGAACAGTTCCAATACGACAGAAGAAGACAGGCTTGTGAATTCAGCTGCAGTAATGAAAGCAAGAAGCTCTGATGGAAAAATACCAGGCATTCAACACAAACTCGACATGAAATAATTGCACTTCTTTCCAAAACTCTTGACATACTATAGCAGACTGTTTCTCACACGTTGTATTTGTAAAACATATGCCCTGTAACTTCTGCTTCATCAAAGCTGTAGATTTTATACAAGTGAAATGTATTAGGTATGAAGCCTGATTATTTTCCTGTCAGGTTAATAAGAAGTAGGAGTTTAACTCGAGTAGATGCAATTAAAATGAGAAGCCCAAGGTTAATTTCAATTACATTTATTTTTTTCACTCCTGAGTTCCTAAATAGCAGCAGATCTCTAAGAGCAGAAATAAGTGCCACAGTTGTCTAGAATGACATTTTTAGATAGATGTTGTCACTTTCCTCTGAACTAACACCCATCATAAACATTAGACATTTAGATCATGAAACATTTTCCCCAAACTCTAAAAGAGCTGTGGTCAGTATTACACCAGTCTCTTTAATATCCTGGGGAAGAACCTGATATTACAGAAAAGACCTTTGGTAAAAATACAAATGAGTTCCATATTACACAAGAAATCAGACCATATCATAACCTACAGAAGACAAAAAAGAATAAAAATGTAGCAAATCACTTTAATAAGGCAAGAAAATTAAAATGAGAACCAGAAAGGTTCAGATTATTTATTACTAAATTATTACAGCTAATTAGTCTGTCATATATGTCATCATTTATAGAATTGAAAAATGCTTCTATCTTTGAAGATCTTAAATATAAGTGAATAATTGACTAATAGGGTTATTTCTGTATCATTAGAATGCCACTCACCTTTCTAGAAAGAATTGTAGAATCTTGTCCAGTAAACTGAAGATATAAATATTTTGTACCATAAGAACCAGGTAATAGAAATATAGTATTAAAAATGGGTGTATATTTTCATTAAGAAGATATTAAAATAAACCTTTCTAAATTTATTATGTTTGGAATTTTACAAGGGCTGGAGCGATAGCACAGTGATAGGGCATTTGCCTTGTGCACAGCCAGCCCGGCTGAGCCAGGTTCGATTCCTCCGCCCCTCTCGGAGAGCCCAGGAAGCTATCAAGAGTATCTCGCCTGCACGGCAAAGCCTGGCAAGCTACCTGTGATGTATTCAATATGCCAAACACAGTAGCAACACGTCTTAAAATGGAGATGTTACTGGGCCAGCTCGAGCAAATCGATGAACAATGGGAGGACAATGTTTTGTTTGTTTGTTCAGGAATTTTACAAATATAAAATTATCTTTGCTAAAACTACATTTTATTTTGTTGTTACATATTTTACAAAGCTTTGGCGTGCAGAGAGAACAGAATCCCAATCAGATGGTTAGGTATGCTGCTACAATACACATCTAGAATCATGAAAATGAAGAGAGAGAATGAGAGAAATGATACTTTATCAGGCTATTATTTAAAATAAAAACTTCATTATTAAATAACTTTCATTTTAAAATCAGAATTTTTTCTTTAAGTGCCTTCCTACTAAATAAAATAGAGGACCATAAAATAATGTAAATAAATTTGTAATCATAATTCTGAAGTAGAGACAAGGCTTGATGATAATTTGAGGTATCTGCAACAATTATAACATAAAAAGATCTGTGATTACCTTTGATGATAGTTAAAATAGTTAATACAATTGTAGTTCATCTCCTATACTTAGAATGGAAAAAACACTAAATTTCATTAGATGTTGGTGAGATAAGGATATTATTTCTTTTCCTACCCAAGTTACTATTTCCCATAATGAAGATGAGATAGTAAAAATACAGTTAATTAGATGTTGCCCAGATAGCAGTGCTGCTTTCTTTTTCTATTTTAACTATGTCCACCTAATCTCCATTTCATTCTGTTCAGTGTTGTTAAAGTCTTATTTTCTTTTCAAATTTAATTAGAACAACGAGATAGGAAACATAAGATATCTTGAAAACATAACTTTGCAAATGGTTTTCCTTGGGGTTTCAAATGTCAAGTTCCAAGGCCTGACGTTTCAAGTAACCCAAACTAGGGCATCGTAATCAACATTGGCATTGCCTCCAGTCCCGATAAAAAGAATAAAACATCAGTAAATCAAAACTACTTTGGAGGGGAATCCGCAGATCACCCTTGGCCCCAAAGTATATGGAGAAGGACAGAGAAAAAAGAGTTTAGGGGGAGAAGTGATAATCAGGAAGTAACACAACAGGGAGCAGGGGTCAAGGGGCTCTAGTCCTTGGGTGGTGTAAAGGAGTGGGATAGCCAAACATCCAAACCAGACTCAACCACACTGAAAACAAGCGATCCAAACGTTGACAACCAAACTTACAAATGTGCCTGTCAAAATGGCAGACTGGGGATGTGGGGTGGGAGGGAATTCTGGTGGGGGAAAGAAGAAACAGATGGTGGGATTGGTACTGGAACATAGTAGGTTTAAATCCTAACTATGAATAACTGTAAATCATGGTGCTTTAATGAAATAATAATAATAAAACTACGTTGAAGAAATTAGTTCGTCACTCACCAAAAGTCTACCTTAAAGTCACAAATCAAACATGTGGACAAAGCATATCCTTATTAGGTAATGTCAGAGTCCCAGAGCTTTTCTTTCATGGAAGTAGTTAAAAGAAAAGCAGTAAGTAAACTTTTCCCCTAAACCTATCCATTCAGGAAAGATGCATGCTAATTTACTGTTAACTTACTCCTGTATGCTTTTCAAAAAACACTTTATGCTGGTCTTAAGGGTTTTATTTTTCCTTAGGTGAACCTTAGGAGAAATGAGTTGATCCCAAGTTGGCTGCACACACATGTCTGCACTCCTTCAAGAAACACTTGGGGCTGGAGAGATGATATCTCATTTTTTTTCTTTTTGGGTCACACCCAGCGATGCACAGGGGTTATTCCTGGTTCTGCACTCAGGAATTACTCCTGGCAGTGCTTGGGAGACCATATGGGATGCTGGGAATTGAACCCGGGTCAGCCGCGTGCAAGGTAAACGCCTTACCCGCTGTGCTATTGCTCCAGCCCCTCATTGTTATTTTGATTTGCATCTCTCTGATGATTAGTGACGTAGAGCATTTTTTCATGTGTCTTTTGGCCATTTGTATTTCTTCTCCTCATTTTTTGATGGGGCTAGATTTTTTTTTCTTGTAAAGTTCTACCAGTGCTTCATATATCTTGGATATTAAACCCTTATCAGATGGGTCTTGGGTAAATATTTTTTCCCAATCCGTGGGCTATCTTTGTATCATGGTCACCATTTCTAAGATCAATGTAGTCCCACTTGTTTACCTTTCCTTCAATTTACTTCATCAGTGGTGTTTAATCTTTAAAGATATCTTTAGCTTCAATGTCATGGGGGGTTCTGCCCTCATTTTCCTCCATGTATCTTATGGAGGAAGATACTGAGGTCTTTAATCCATTTTGATCTGACTTCTTTGCCTGGAATTAGAAAGAGGTCTAATAGAGAACAGATGACTAATTAAAGAAGCTATGGTACAGCTATAGTACAGCGATGGTACAATGGGATACTATAACTGTTAGGAAAAAATGAAGTTACAAAATTTGCTTATAAATGGATGGACATGAAGAATAGCATGCTGAGTGAAATGAGTCAGAAGGAAAGGAACACAGAATGATCAAACTCATTTGTGGAACATGAAAAAAAATCATATAAGACCAGTACTCAAGGACAGTAGAAACAAGGGCCAGCTGGGTTGGTCCATGTCTCAAGTGCTGGACGAGAAGGCAGTTGGGATACAGAAGGGACCACCATGGCAAAGTTAGTTGGAAATGATCACTCTGGATCTGGATAAGAACTGCTTATTGAAAACAGGTAAATGAACAAACATGATAACCTCCTAGTACCTGTATTGCAAACCATAATGCCCCAGAGGGGTACGGGGGAGGGAAGGAGAGAGAGAGAGAGAGAGAGAGAGAGAGAGAGAGAGAGAGAGAGAGAGAGAGAGAGAGAGAGAGAGAGAGAGAGCCTGCTACAGAGATAGGCTGGGGCTAGGCTGGGAAGAGAGTGGTGGCCGGAGGGAAATGGGACATTGGTATTGGGACATGTACACTGGTGGAAGGATGGAAATTGGAACACTGTATGACTGAAACCGACCATGATCAGCTTGGTAATTCTGTATCTCATCGTGATTCATGATCACGATCATCCTGTTCGTTAATTTCCTCGAGCAGGCACCAGTAATGTCTCCTTCATCCTAGCCCTGAGATTTTAAAAAAGCCATTTCAATGCTTTTTAAGGATTAGGAGAATGAGACCCATCATTGTTACTGGTATTTGGCATATTGAGTACGATATGGGAAGTTTGCCAGACTCTGCCATGCGGGCAGGATACTTTTGGTAGCCTGCCAGGTTCTCCAAAGGAAAAATAAGGTAGTAAGATGTCGCGCAACCACGAATGTGGCCGCATGCTTCCGGGAGCTGGGTTTTATAGTCTCTGCGTCTTGGCCGTTGATGGGACCAACCTGGTGCTGGTGGTAGCTGGTGGGTGTGACGCCTACCTACTGGAAGATGGGGGGTCTGGGTGGAGAAGGCCCAGTCCCAATTCGAGTAGGCTTGGACACCTCAGCCCTGGGACCTGCATGCCTGGGTTCCTCTGCCAGTTCTTTCATGCATGAGGCCCGTGATTCAATTTAAGAAAATTAAAAAAAGATGTTTCTTTAGAAATTGAAGTAGGTATCATATCAACATTCAAATGTTTCTCTTGATAATCATATTTATGTGAATTTATGTAAGAGAATATATTTTATTTTAATGTGTTAAAATACTGAAGTGATTTAAAATTGAAATGAAAGATTATCTCCTTTAACCCCAACATCTTCCTTTCATTTGTTTATTTTTGCCTTGTACACATGATCATGGGCTGGAGCGATAGCACAGTGGTAGGGCGTTTGCCTTGCAAGTGGCTGGCCCAGGTTCAATTCCTCTATCCCTCTTGGAGAGCCCGGCAAACTACTGAGAGTATCCCGCCTGCACAGTAGAACCTGGCAAGCTCCTCGTGGCATATTTGATATGCCAAAAACAGTAACAAGTCTCATAGAGGAGACGTTACTGGTGCCCGCTCAAGCAAATCGATGAACAATGGGAGGACAGTCCTACAGTGCTACACATGATCATGTTTCCTTTTGTTTAGATTTATGTGCTTTATTCGGGTGGCTCTAAGTGATATCGTAATTTTGACAGGGCACTTTTCTCCAGAGCAGTTTTACAAAGTAATTTCAGGGATCAAGGGTCACAGGATTACCAAGTGTTCCAGTTTGGATCCCAGATTCCTGGGTTCTGCTAATGAGATACTGAACAGGAAGTTTTGATAATGAACTCAGGAACCTGCATTTTGGCAAGTTCCTTAAATAAACCTTATGCACACTGTGTTTTAAGAACCACTGCTTTTGAATCTAAAGTATTTCAGCTTCAGGGCTGGGGAAAGAGCTCAAAGGGCTGATTTCAGACCTGATTTGGATGCCTGGCACTGCATGATTCCTCATCATTGCAGGATGAGGCTCTGGTGGCTCCCGTAACAGGGGGCCTAGAGGTACTGCAGAGCCAGGCCCAAGTAGGGAACCATCCAGCCTGCATAGGTGGGTTGAATACCACCAGGAGTGGTTCCACTGTTCCCTGACCACTGCAGCTTTGGAAAGACAAGTGCCAGTAAACTAAAGTTACTCTTTTAATGTAGTTCTTTGTTTCTAGAACTGAGATAATGGCATCTGAGTTTTAATGTTTAAGTACTTTAAAAACATGTTTCCCACATGCCAGATGGGAATTATTAGCTATATTTTACTACGGGCAACTGGAGTTTTGAGTTTTAAAAGAGATTATAGTCAATTTTCTATGAAAAATTGATTAGTAGAAATAGGCCTTAGTTGATCTGATCTGGTTGTTTACTGTGTTTTTATTTTGTAATATATGGTTGAGCCATGTGGATTTTGTAGGGTTAATGTGGCCTGAGTTGGGAGCACAGGATCTGATTTGAGGTTGTGTTCTAGTATTTATTGAATGTCTCTGAGTCCAGTTTCCTCAAGTGACCAGGCCAAAGTAATTGTGAAGAGTGAGTGAAATATGTTAAATTTAAGG